CTTTTGATTTTGAATTCCCTGTCCAATGTGTGTTCATTCTTCTCTAGCCAGTCACATTAGCAGTACAGTAACTTGTCTGCTCCAGGAGGAAAGAGAAAGGTAGAAACTTAAAAAGAATACGGAAAGCACTTTGGCAAACCCACCCATCAGTAAATTCTAGTGTGGGCTCATATTCAGGTGATACTACACTCCTCTCATGCTTCCCAAGGCACCCAGAAAAAGTACAAAGTTGTATTTGAAACGTATAGGAGTGCTAACAAGGGAGTTCAAGTCATGCAAACAACACAGATACATTAGTAATAGTCCAAGCTACAGAGCGGAGAGCTCAGGATACAGAATTAATTAACATGTGGAAGACCAAGTCTTGATCTTATTAAAGAGAGCTGTCTAAGTGGCTACATGGGTTATGAAACTGGCACTAATGACGATTAGACCACAAGGCGAAAAGATTTTTCCCTAGACTGAAATGAAGCTGTAATGCAAAATGAATTTGAGAACACTTCCCTTCCTTACTTCGAACTAACAGATGGAATAATCACATTAGGAGATTAGTTAAAAAATTAACTGCCTTTTCTCCAAGTAGCATTTAACCCGCTATTCTACTACTGTTATCTTGCTTGTTCCAGGAGGATGACCTGTACAATACATGCTTATGACATAAATAAAAGTGAAAGAGATTTAACCAAATGCCCTTAATTCAAAGCAGAAAATTATTTGGGAGTACAGGAACAAATCGATGTTTCCAGGCTCACGTTTCCTAATATTACTGTGAAACTCACTAAGACAACCATCCAAGCACTGTCAGAATCACTAGTTTTTACTAACTGCCTGCTCCTTTAAAAAAAAAAAAAGAAGAATTGATTTGAACAATGTTGAAAAGTTTTCTAAGCAATAACAGAGAAAGCGAACAGTATAGGAAGAAAAGGTCTCTTAATTCAAGAGGTGAAATACAGAGGTCAATCCACAGCTTGTATGGGATATTGGGATGGTAAGGACTCCTTATGTATCTGGAACATGGAAAAATGAAAAGTCATTAACATATCTTTGTGTGTCATCATGTCTAGTAAGTCTCTTGTGCCCCATTCTGGTAACTCACCATAGTCTCTGCAAACATACTTGGAAACTGAAACGTGTTAGTTCTCGGATGGAAGCTTTTCTCTAGAGATCTAGTCCCTTGACAAAAACCACTAACTTCCATGGTAAATTAAAAGGACAGCTTGGACTTCTAAAGGAGAAAACAGCAAACCTGAGTGCAACCAAAATTAACAGTTTAAAAAACTGTCCATTACCTTAAAAAAATAAAAAAAAACCAAACACTGAACAAGACCCTGGTCTCTCCAAGGACAAAGCAACACCTTTTTAGGTACAAACATGTGAAAACTCTGAGCTGGCTCACAATAGACAGAAGTAGCACTTAATCTTCATAGATATTCCACAGCTAGTGGGTTTTCATTTTGGTTTATTTTAAATTATTATTATGGACTGTATACTGTAATGGATATGTCTGTCCCTCAATAGGACAGTCTTGATTCATGCAAAGGAACAGCTGACGAAGCCCTGAGGAGGCTCATGTACAGCAAAAGTCTGGGGAAAACAGACATGGAGGGATGTATGCATATGTAGGCCTGCATTTGTGCATGGATAAGTAGGGAAAAAGTTCACAGTTATACAAAGAAAGAAGCCTTCAAGGCAGAACTTTTTTTTCCCATGTCTGAGAGAAGAAGGAATCAATAACAAGAAGTCTCACGGTTTTAATTACCAAATTTGACACCATCCTGAGTTAAGAAACAAATTTTATTCTACAGTGTTGCACTTCAATTGTGCCCACGTTCTCAGACACAGTTGTATGAGAACAAGACATATCTTAACAATCAGCATTTTTGGAGACTCCAAAAATAAAGTGGTCCTACTGAATTCTCAGAAGAATAGTTCCAGTTGGCAGATGTCCTTGTACATAAAGGTATTTCTACTACTGGAAAGGGAAAGGGGTTAGCGTGAGCCCTCAAAGACTCCAATATTTTGGGGGATAAGGGATATACATACATGCTGCAACAAGCCTTTTCCTCCCCCACAGAATTACAGAAGAGGACAAGAGTTCATTAATACCCCATGTGGAAATGGTAATACACCACTGCCTCTCCCAGTGCTGACTTGACCAGCCTCAGCTGCTTTATCCATCAGCCTGCTCTGTGCCAGGAGCCCCAATTAGGCAAAGGCCTATGTTCTCTGTCCTGGCTTGAGCTTAATTACCATGCCTGCTTACAGCCCTGCGCTCATCTCCAGGATGGACCTCAGACCTGTGTTGTTTGTACCCTTCTCCTGAGTCTTGTCTCCAGCTCATATCCTTTTGATCCTGACTGGAGCCCCTGGATAGACCCAGGCAGGTGGTGTGACTCTTAGTAATGTCTATTGCAGGGTTAAGAGTTGGACTTCATGATCCTTGTGTGTCCCTTTCAACTCAGCATATTCTGTGATTTGCCATGTCTGGCACTGCTGGTGGGTCCTACTACCAGCCCCCAGCTTTGCCCACACTGCTCAGGCCCCATGGCACCAGGTTGGGTGTGGGCACTGCCTGTGCTGGTGGCATCCTCAGGTCCCTTCTTGTCCTCCCTCATGGAGAAACCCTGCTCATGCTGCTCCCAGACACTGTCGCTCAACAGTATCAGACAAACATATTTCAAAAGAGGAAATCGCTATTTTTAACAAAGTATTTCTTACTATTTTAAGACTGACAGTCTGATTGAAAATCACCTCAGTAAAGAGGACTCTCACCTCTCAATAAAGAGCACTGTACCAAAAACTAGTCTTCAAAGTTTTCTCCAGTCTCTACACAGAGAAAACAACTTGACTCCAACATGGTATTGGTTCTGAAAGATGCCATAGCCAGACTAGTAAGGCAAATGTGATAAAATTAACACAGCAAATCACAGTGAGTAATATGCACTGTGTCTTGTTTTTCATTGATTTCATTTTTGTATTTTCAGAAACTGTGAGTGCTGCTGCTTTTCTAAAGCTATGCTATAACTTTCAAACCCAGAATAGTAACCAAAAACGTCACCTACAATACACAGGTGGAGAGGCTGGGGAAGAGGAAAGGGGAAGAGAAAGACAGGAAAGCGTAAAATTACAAAAAAATGTAATTCAGGAGAGACAGGAGAGGAGGTAAGATAACACAGATTGAGATATTAGTTAATTTAGGTGTCTTATATACCTGGTTTGTTTGTTTCAGGCTTGCAGAATGCTTATCAAGTCATATTTGACTTTATTCTCCATGAAATAAATATACTTTTGTCATTTCTAGTATTTTTTGGATTATTTTATGGTATAAAACACTTATTCCATTGACCTGAGAACGGCAATAACCGCTAAACAAAGCAATTGGTGCTTGTAAACTATCAGGTCCTGAAGAAAAGGTTTTTCTAATGTAACATCTTAAGGAGATGTTAATTGTCTGCAGTTTGATCAATTTGGGAAATAATTGTTTTTTTCAAAACCCAGTATAAAAATACATCTGTTCAAAATACATTAAAAAGAATTTTCAAATGATTGCTACTCTCATCAGCCACCTATGCCTAATACCCTACAGTACCCTTATTGTATTAACCTCTTTAATTAGGGTAGCAATAACCTGGTATCAGAAATAGCAATACATTCTGCCATCTTAAATTCACTACTACAAGTCAAAAGACATATGAACAAGACCATAGCTCAGTTAGCTTACCACCTTGACAACATTTACAACTAGAAGGATATTATAACATTACATTGTGATAAATATTAGCGGAAAAGGAAAATTTGTAACATCTGAAACTCAGCTCAGACGTGGGCAAATGTAAAAGAATGCTTTGCTCATTTTTAATCACAAAAAGCGTTTTCGTGGGCACAAACAAGATGTCAACAGGAAAGACAACAAGGGAAAGAATTTGGATCACTTAAAGTAACTGCACCAGAAAAGCTCATATCCAGACTTCAAAAACAATCCATGCATGAAAATGCAGTTTAAAAAGTTATTATAATTCAGCAATATGACAAAACGTCACCCATATATTTACCAGAAGTCAAAGGAAGAAAAAGCAGCCACACTAAAATTTGAACTGGTATTCTGACCTAAATAGCACACTATGTTTTACAGCAAATTATGAAGGCCACATTACTTAAAGACAAGGAAGTAAGAAAGAAGATAGTAGAAAAACTCTTTCATGAAATGTTTATGAATGTGCTAACCTGAACTCGAAGTGAGCTAAGATCCACCACATTTTTTGTCTCTATGCAGTAAGTTCACACCCACCTGGAATGCCTAGAACAATGCATTTTAAATCGTATCATTGGGGAAATTTCTATACAACTTGGAGAAGATACAAAAATCAGAAGAGGAGTTGCGTGGGATTTCTTTTGTTCTTGCTGCTTAGTTATTTTTTTTTTAGTAAACTGGCAAAATGGGATGTTACCAAGTGGAGCTGAAAAAAGGAAAGCATCAAGGTAAGGGAGATTAAAATAGAATTCCTCAAAGTAGGAATACAGAACAGAAGCTTGTAGTCTTATGGGGAAATTGCTGATTGATAGGAGAGAGTAGCTTGTTCAAACAAAGAAAAGAATAAATATATACAGGATATCTCCTGATCTTTAAACATATTAGAGGTGCACGACAGAAGTAACTATATCTAATTTAGCAATCAATACATCTGGGCTGACAATCACGTCAGATGGACCTTAATGACATTTACAGATCTTAATGAGCTACTAACAGTATTCCGGAACTACCATCTTAGAAATCAAAAGAACAGGGGAAAAAAACCCCTCTCTATACTCTTTTCTTCTCATACCCAAAGAAGCAGGGGTTCATTTTGCAGAAAGAATATAATTTCATGTCTTTCACTATTCAAAAGTGGTCATCCTGCCTCCTTCTGTGTAGCTTAGGAGTAATACACTAGGCCTGCGGAAAGAGATAAATGGAATTCCTCAGCAGTACTCGATGTTTTATAAGTTTTGAAGACTCTTACCCTGTATTGATGGAAATTATTTCTATCAGTGGATTCTTCCTAATCTTTGGCAAATCCAGCCGTGCTCCCCCCAGACGTTTTCCATTATCCTTTTTCTGACCCAGCAGCCTCACAGAATGACCTTCAAATGAAGCAAAAAAATGCAGTCAATACAAAGAACGAGTCCCATCATATTTGTTTTGATTTGCTCTTCTTTAGAAGTAGTGTTTATACTTCAAAGATTGAAAATGAGAATGAGATGTAATAATCTATTTCCACCAACTGGAGCATTTAAAAAGAGACACTGACAGGTAAAATACATGATCTTAAAACGAACAAATTATTTCATCCAATTATCTTTTCACACTTGCATTTTCTGTTTTAGCCAATTAAAATGATCTAAGCAGTTTCATTTTCAGATTCTCTAGCAAATATCAACATAGCAGTAATATTTAAATGAGTTGTATGGCAGGATTAAAATACTTTTCCCCAAAATTTCACTCAAACCTAAATTAGTAGGTAATAAGCAACTAAATACTTTTTTAGCTTGTAATATGGAGAACCAACACATTTCAAAGGTATCTGACTGGGTAAGTCTGAGGGAAAGTGCTGTGAAGCATATCCTGACAACATGTCCATGGCTAAGCTGATTACCAAGATTTGAGCATATTCCTCCCCACACCAAGACAACTGCAGGTCAGAAAACTGCCTCACGACTCCTTTCTTGAAACCAGTAATATTCAGAGAGTAAAATACAAATAATTTCACCAACTGCCTACAACAGTACATCAGTCATACCACAACAAGACCTATATTAAAAGAGCACAAATTACAGGGTTTGCTGATATTCAGAAGGAAGAACTAATAATGAAGACTCAAAACAATTATGTATATTATTGCAACACACAGTGTAAAATGTGCCCAAGGTATAAATGTAAGACGTATCATTTACTGCACAAAGCCTAGAACAGGCAGATGAGAGACAGCAAGGGAAAGCTAATGCTTTCCTGAATGGAGTTGGAAAGTAACCACTACTTGCAGGGAAGGAGCAAGAGAAAGCATGTATTTGTTGAAAACTCTTTGATAGTTACAGCTACAATCCCTCAAATCTTTCAGAGAAGAAAAATTTCCCCTAAAACAGGAGTGGGATGAGAGGAATGCATGCAACTATGAAGCCACAAGCTGAGCTATGTCCACCATAGCAAAGTCTATAACCAAATCAATTAAAATCTGTGTTCAACCAAAGTTCCTAACTTACATTACCAACAGCTATTTACAAAATTAATTCCTTCATCAGCCAAAGCCTTACTTCACTGCCTGTTGTGAGAAGTCAAAAATTATTTTTTTAATAACATAGCATTCATACTCTGAATTTATTTCTGTGATATGGCAATGACAGGCTGCATGAAAACTACTTCTAGTATACCATCTTTCTCAGGTTTTTTTAAGATAAATAAAAATTCTCAATCAAACACATGACCTAATGAAGAAGTGAGCAGTGACCTGACAGCATAATGGTTAATACCAACAGGAGACCTAACACTTAATACTGATAGGACACATCATAATGTCAACACGAAATAAAAGGCATAACTTCTCCAGTTGCATTTGACAAAAATTTCATTATATCCTGCTGTGAATTTAGTAATATGGCATTTATGCTATTAACATTTGCTAACTTATTCACTTCTACCTTTTCCTAACAACAATAGCAATATCTTTGTCTCACAATCCATTCAGTTATTTCCCAATCTAATGCTTCACTGAGGAGTTGCAAGCATGGTACCATTTTATTTACTTGTGTAACAAAAGTTACTGTATTATGTAAAATGTAAGAATTAAACTAGAAGCAGAGAACATGCCTTTTTGTATTTCTTAATAGAGTGGTTTAATAGGTATAAACCAGTTTATCCATTTTTAAAATATTCAACTGCATTACTATATTAAAACTGTATTTGGATTTATGGCTGAAAATTCAGTGGAACAATTCACAGTAATTAAACATTACTTAAAACAATTGGGCTTAACAGCAAGTTACCCAAAAGTTAAAATTCATACACTTAGAACTGGGGTCAAACCACCATTCTTAAGTTTAAAAAACAAAACAAAACCAACAAACCACAAAACCAACCTGCCACCTCCCCCCCACAAGTAAAATCTCAGAGCACAGAATCAGTGAGGCTTCACTTCCACACACCCTCACAACTAACAGCCATGTGAGTTACTGCTCTCTAATAGGAATTTAGCTCATGCTCTCCCTTTCTCATACTGGGAGCATTAATCAAACAGGCAAACTTTTTCATGGAACTTCTGAAAAAAGTGTGTCCTTTAGCCTACAAGACTTGTCATAAGTCTGTTTGAAATTTGTCAAAGGACTAAAAACTTGTAAGGAGGGAGGGAAATGGAAATAATGACAGATTTGTGCAGGAGGCACAAGTTTATAATCTATCTCTTCTTAGGAAATCAGATTAAAAAAAAATAAAGACAAACCACTACTGTAGCCTAAAAAATCTTGTTCAAAAGCACTGCTTCTATCTCCTTACAGATCTTTGTCCTTCAGATGCTAAACAAGTTACCATATACATTAGGGAGAAAAACAACAACAACAAGCCAACCAACCAAAAAACCTTAGAACATTCTACACAGCCAACATAGCTCATAGGGAGTATAAGACCCAGCCTCTCCTACCTTCAGAAACTTCCTTTATTCAGGAGAGAAATCCCAGCTCTGTGACCATCTCCCACGTGATTCACTAAACGCTAACATCCACCCCAACCCAGCTCCTGAGCTCAGGAAATCCATAGTCTGGTAATCAAATATGGCAGCTTATTTTCACATTAAATACATTTCCCATATTCCTACTTTTCAATATCAGAATGACACTGACATTCAAGTTAATATGAGGCTTGCAAGACCTGTGTGGAACTTGGGAATAACAACATCTCTGTACTTTTCAGTCCAGATACCAGAGGCTAAAAAAAGTAGTACTGGGAGATGACTTTTAGCAGAGAGTTTAAAGCTTCCAAAAAGCAAGCAGCACATGTCCATCCAACTACTGTGACTTCTTTGCAGACACATTCAATTTTTTAATTTTTTGTTAAGAAAAAAACCCACTCAGTTACAGTATTTGTGACCTTAAATCCTTTTTCTCCTACTCCATGCAAGGACTATTTTGTTTCATTTTAAGTAATCACTAAAACATCTGTTTACAGAATTGTTGCTATTAATAAAACACAACTTGATAAACACAGAATCATACTGTAGATCTTTTTTTTCCTCATATTTATTTCAAGAAAACTTAAAAATAAGTATTTTGTCGTCTTCAATAAGGAAATGGCTAAGTAACATTTTTTTATATTCTCTAGCCAGCACTATTAAGGCCACACTAAGATCAAGTGTAACAGAAAAAGCAGTAATTTTAAATCTCATTTATAACCTCCTTTCAAAGCTTAGAATGGGGCAAAACACTGCAATTAAGCTTTACTTCCAAAGCATTTTATCTGATTAAGTTACCTTCTCTCTGCCATTCCAGATTGGATAACTTACCTAAGCAAAACAGGTGTCACAAACTTAAAAGGAGTCTTTCTTTTTATATTTGTTTTGTTTCTTTCCTTTTTCTTTCAGTTTTGAAAGAAACATTTCTGAAATCTGAGTTAATCACAAGTCTACCACCATAACGATGAGTGCTCTACCTCAGATATCAAACAAACAACACACCTTTTTTGATGGCTCACTGGATGATGCAAACTTTGAAACACAGCTTAATGACGAAGAGATCTAGTCAGGTTAGATATGAGAGTCTAAACAGCCTAGGTATATAAACCTCTTCTGCTATAAAAATAACTTTTCTACTTCCACATAGTCTAACTGCAGACAAAATTTCCCTAAGGAAAAAAAACAACCAAAAAACCCCCAGAAAAACTCCACAAACAAACAAATAAAAACACAAAAAAGAAACCACAAATAACAAACAAACAAACAAACAAACAAAATGGTTTAGGTCATGATTCAGAGCAAATTTTCACTAATTAGTAGATAATTAATACAGACTACTACAAAACAGTACTAACCAAGTCCAGCAAGGACAGTTACAGAGCAGAATCACTCATAGCAAGTGTAAATGAAATCAAGCTAGAAACAATTAAAAATAAATCAGAGCTCTCTAGTTTTCAGAACTGTTTAAAATTAAACTCGTCTTTACATAGAAGTCAGTGGATATAATTCATATCACTTGGCACTGTCCGGAAAAACGATGAGGTTGGAATGAATTAATCAGGATATTAAATCCTATTGTTAGTCTAAAAGAGGGCATTAAAATGTGTCTAGCTTGATAAATCAGTGTGCAGAATGAAAATATTTTCAAGGCATTTTTTTTTACTTGCTAAAAAGGACATCAAAAAGTAACACAGCATTAATGGCATGTATGTCTTTAATCATGGATGCATGTGCTTCAGGACTGTGATGGAGAATGCCCAATCCTGACATACAAATATATGATGGGAACAGGCAATGGAATTTCTCTGTCATAAGATCATAACATTAAATGTCCTGTGTACCTCAGCCTACCATCAGACCCATCACCTAGAACCACAGAAGCATGCTAATGACATTAGAGCAAATAGATTCAAATTGGACCGGTATTTTCCTAGTTTATTACAAGAATAAGTGGCCTGGATTATTCATCCTTAGTTAACTTTAACTGACTATCAGTGTTGTATCGGATATTAATATAATCAGCTTCACTCTGTCCATAGGCTGGCACCCCTCAATTGCTGCTGGGAAATAGTATCTGGTTGGAGAATGGAAGAGGGCATCCATTGAGGATCCCTCCCCATCTCTGCACACCCCGCTGGAGCTACAAGTGTACCTCTGAAACACAACTCCCAGCCAGACACAGAGCTCTCTTAGCTGTTAACTTCAAAGTTCTGTGCAGATATCTCAAGCAGCTCAAACACATGAGTTTAAAGAAAATCCTCAAAGATGCAGGAAACCCCAGCCTTGGCAGCAAAAATTTCTATTGTTTTCTGCTCGTTCTGTTACCCATTCTTTCCTTTTCCCAGTTACATCATTATGCTTAGAGGTTATTCATCACCATTTCCTGAAAGACACTTTTTTCCTCACACCACAGCTGCCAATGCTGTT